TAAGATGCTACAGACATGGCGCCGCATAGACATTTGTCTGTGGCGCTCTGCTTCTCTCATGCACGCTAACTGCCACCACTCCGGTCAACAACTGAACTGCTGGTACTAATGTAACGCTAAGCTAACGGCCAACACATAAGTGTCTCCCCCTTCTCCCCCCGTGAGCGCCCTGCCAAGGCAGATGACCTCGGGGAAACGGTGCATGCAATGTGGTGACTTGTTGTAGGTAACCAGGAAAACCTGGAGTGGACTTTTAGTGGTTCAGTATTCTCCCATAAGTGGAATGGATTTGTTCATGAAGAAATAGAAACAGCGCTGGGTGAACTAATATTTCATGGTAAATGTGGAGGGTCAGAATAAATATTTTTTAAATGTGTGTATGTGTGTGGGGGGGATGAACCTGTCACATGTAATTGTTGTGCTGCCTATGACTTCACCATATAGCCATATATTTGTGTAAACCAACCACTTCTATCATTTGAGGAAACTGCTTTCTGGTTTTATATTTCTTTAAAATATAATTTCCTTAGCTGATAGGTGGCTGAAGATTATTTATGGTGGTCAATTATCTATGATGGCCAATGTTGGCCCACCATTGGCCACCACTGGCCACCCTTTGGCTCCTCCATTGCACCGGGTGTTAGATAAAATCGCTGTCTCTACTCGCCAGGATCTGTCACTCTGTGCTGCCTCAAACACGAACAGTTAAAGTAAATCAGATCAAATTCATGGTAATATAACCACATCCTTTTACACTTCAGGTATACTGTTCTGTATTTGAAAGTTCATTGTTTAAACCAGAAAACTTGTACTTTTTACTTTAAATACATTTTTGTTCACTACTAAAAAGATAGTACTTACATTAGCTTTATCTCGAGGAGTGATTTGCTGTATTAATTAGACCAAACGTTTTATGGCGTAAACATTAAAGCCGCTGGGTTATTGTAATACGTTCTGGGCACTTTCTACTGAAATGGATGGTCTGTTTTCACTGGCTGTGTTCTTTAAAAATGTTTTGCTTTTGTGCTGGAATTTTTAAGGCAATTGGACTTCATTTTCTTTTGGCAAAATCTCTTAAATAACAAAGAATTCCAGTTGTCTTTTTTTATTTTTAAGATAAGAAATTTATATTCCATCCATCTTCTACTACTTATCTGTAATCGGGACACGGAGGCTGCAGGTCCAAGAGAGAAACTCAGACCTCCCTCTCCCCAGCAATACTGTTCAACTGATTCCGGGTGGCCCCCAGGTGTTCCCAGGCCAGAGAAAATACACAATTTCTCCAGCGAGTTCTGGGTCTTCCCCAGGGCCTCCAACCAGTGGGATGTGTCTGGAAAACCTTTAACATGATTTAAAGGGAATAACTTTTATTAATATTATGATTATTATTATAAGGGGAGTGGTGGTGCAAAGGTTAGAGAAGGTGGGCCTGTGATTGGAAGATCGCCGGCTCAACTCCCGGTACCGACATCAAAAAATGTTGGTGGGATAGGTGAAGCACCCACACCTGTCTCTACCCTCATCTGCCCCACTCTGGGCCCTTGAGCAAGTTCCTTAACCACCATCTGCTCCTCCGAGCGCCCTAGATGCAGCTCCCTGCTCCACACAGAGGGCTGTGGTAGCTCGGTGGTCTGTGGTTGCATCAGGAAGGACATCTGGCGTAAAAATAATTGCCAAATCTTCGTGCGACTTAGTTCGCTGTGGCGACCCCTGAAGGAGCAGCCGAAAGAAGAAAAAATATATATATTTTATTATAACGTATATCCAACTAAAGTTACGTGCTTGTGTTCTAATCATTCTTTATGGAGCAGTAAACCTATCTATTTTCTTTAATTGTTTGGAAATAATTATTCTTATTTGTATAATATTAACATCATTAAAAAAAACTGAAGTATCACTATTTGAATGCGGTGTAAAAAAAAAAACATGGTAATTTTAAGGGCAAATTTCTGCATTTATGTGGTGTATATTCCTAATATTTTTCCATCATTTATATTTTACATTATTCATGTGTTATGGGTAAAAGTTTACAACTGTGTTATCTACATGTGCATTATTGAAACAAATCGTCAACAGGACACTAAAAGTCTTAATCAAGAACTCAATGGGAATGTGGAAGTCAAATCCAGAGGCCAATTCAAAGCCAGTTGCACAAATCAGCATCAAATGTGGCAAATATCAAGAAGATGCACTGTCCCCACTCCTGCACAAGCATGAACCCCCTCAACCAGATCATTGCAAAGAATGGTTGTGGATACCAGCAGAACAATCATCAGTCACCTCCTCTACATGGATGACATCAAGCTGTATGTCAAAAATGATCGAAACATCGACTCACCGATCCACCTCACCATGATATATTGGAATGTCATTGCAGTCAGCATGCAAGAGAGGCAAGGTGATCACAAATGAAGGGGTTGAATTACCTGAAGGCAACATTGCAGATTTCCAGGACAGCTACAAATATCTTGGAATCCCTAGGCAGGTCCTGAAGAGCCAGCTGAACCACAAGAATAAAGTAGGAGCCAGCAACACGTTTGCAGTGCCAGTCATCAGATAACCAGCTGGTATAATAATCTGGTCAAAGGAGGAGATAGAAGCCACTGACATCAAGACCTTGAAGCTCCTCACAATGCACGGAGGGCCTCATTCCACGTCCAGCACCCTTAGGCTATAAAACAGGGAGGCAGAGGACTAGTGAGCATCCGAGTCACTGAACAGGATGCACCAGCTAAGATCCTGGAGTACATCAGGAGAAAAGCCCCCAGGATGAACTGATCAGTAAATGTCTAAGGCATTTTCACTGTAGGTCACAGCATTTACCACAAATGTGTCACACAGTTCAACACAACCTGAGCTGCAGTAAAATGCTGTTGATTGATCGTGGCTTATATATAAACCATACGTTACCATATTATACCATGTATTTTTTTTGGTCTGGTGTAATAAAGCACATCAAATATTAAAATATGAATTCTAACACTTTCTTGAAACGGTAGTCCATGAATAGTCCATGATTCAAGGCTTATTACTACCGTGTCACTTGGTGTACCTATAAGAGTAAAGCCCGGCTGTGGTAGGCGTCCTTTATTTTTCTGCATATAATGTGGCAACCCTATGAAAATTAATTAGTCTCAACAGCAGTTACACAAACGTACTACAAGATCCACAGATGCATTAACAGTTTTTCAAATGTACACATTTCAAATTGCACAACTGTAGAATATGCCACACATACATATAGTTCAATTCAGTTTATTTATGTAGCACCAAGTCACAACAGGAGTCGTCTCAGGGACTGAACAGAAACATTCATAAATAAAAATAATAATTGAACAGAAACATTCATAAATAAAAATAATATTTAACATTATTTATCTGAGGAGCAGCTTTGAGTTTAACTCCA